TATTTGCCAATAATTACATATCTGGCAAGGGATTTATCTCTAAGATTTATAGGAGATGAGTGGTTGACAAAACTATGGTACATACACATAATGGAATGCTATGCAACACTAAAGAATAATGTAGAGTCTGCAAAACACTGCATAATATGGATGAACTTGGAGGACAGTATGCTGAGTGAAATAAGTCAATCACAGAAGGATAAATATAGTATTAGTTCATTGTTGTGGAAATCAAGGAAAGGTTTATATATGCGGGGAAACTTTCTATGTTGGTTGCTAGGGGTGGTAGGGGAGGGGAGGGGACAATGCAAAAAAAAATGCTTTGACCCATTTCACTTTAGTTTTGTGTATTTTACTGTACAAAAAATCTATTTCAATAAAATGCATTTAAAAGAAAAAAAAAGGATTGGATAGAAGGAACAGGAGCCAAAGAATGCAAGGGGCTTCTAGAAACTTAAAAGGGCAAGGAAAAAATTTCCTCCAGAATATCCAAAGGGAAAATGGCCCTGCTTTGATTTTAGGAAATCTGATCACCAGAGTGTAAGATAACAAATTTGTGCTGCTTTAAGTGACTAAATGCTCATAATTTGTTACAGCAGCAGCAGGAAACTAATACAATTCATATTAGTTTATTAAGTAATATTTAGTTTGTAGTCAGCTCAACTCCCTTCAGATAAAGGGCTCCAAACAATTCTTTAATTGTGTCTGTTACTATCATTACTGTCATCAAATAGAAATCTCATCAGTTTCAACCCATTTTATCAGTCCTAGAAATTTCTTCTCTCTTCACTTCTACTTTTACTTCTTTTGTTTCTCTTTTCAGTCTTCTGTGCTGACTCCTTTTCATCTATCCAGTGGGATTTACTCAAGGCTTCACGGGTCCCTCAATTCCTTACTAGGAACATTGCCTCTCTCAATGATCTCACCACTCCCATGACCTTAACTTCCATCTGCTGTTGAAGATTCCCACAATTTTAATTTTCTTCTAAGCTCCAGACTCATACTTAACTACTAGGCATATCAAACTTAACATGTCTAAGAGATAACTGTAATTATAGTTTTCCTACCAGAAACACAAACAGCCCCAGGGTTACAGGTGAGGAGAGACAACTCAGGGACGCCCAAAGTAGCAAGTGGGAAGAGCAGGAGAAAGGGGATAAAAAGCCAGGAACCCAGACAGAAGAGCAGTCAGCCCCAGGGTTACAGGTGAG